CATTCCCACACAAAACAAAAGCGTTGCTCTTGTAACTTGTTCAATCTGTCTTTGTCTTAAAATGATTGCGCAATTTTGTATGTTGTCTGTGAACTTTACCGATGAGAAGATGAGATGTAACCGATTCATTTTTCGTCCATTGTTTTCCATTGCCTTTTTTCTCATTCTGCGTCTTATTTTTTCCACAAAAACTGAACATAAAGCTGCTGCACACTCTTCTGCCGCTCATCGAATGTAATGTATATTGCGTTGAGTGATGTCATCCATTGACTAGGATAAGACTTGCCGGCGTCAAAATGTTTGGCAATCGATTCGTCTGAAACAAACATAAACTACAACAATTTTCAAGTAAATCTTGTTAAACTCCGAAATTGTTTAACTCAATATTTCATACGATTCATAAAATCGATTTCGCATGAAAGTTAATGTATTATAAAAATTGTGTGTGCGACGTATAAAGCACGCATTTGTCAGCGTTACTATTTTCATTGCCATTGTGAGTCATATTCGTTTTCCACGCTCCGCTCCCACTTCTCTCCATATTAATTGGTGTATTGTGTTGGCTTTATGTATTCATGTTATAAGCTACCCTGGCAGTGCCGTTTTGCCTTTTTACCATTCAACTTGCTCGCAACGAACTTACTCGAATTTCAACAAATTACTTCGTTTTTTTCGTGCTTCATAAGATTTTCAATTTTCTAAGCATTTCCATTTGGCTTCGATGTAATGTGCAATTGACCCAAATCGCCAAGAGGACATAAATTCGTGACTATTTTTCAAACAAACAAATGGCGACAATCTCTTTTGGAACGACTAAAATGCTTTTTGTGTTTATGAAATGGAAGTGAGCTGTCTCTTTGTGAAGAAGTAGAAAAATTGTGACGTTGAGTGATGTTAAAGAGAAGTCGTAGAAACAAGCAAAAATTATCGTGTCGACAATTCAAAACTGACTTCAATGAAAAACAATATTTTGTGAGAAATTGATTGAAATCTTATTTTGTGTATTTTTCGGTAATTATTATGAAAAAGGAGTATGTTTCATGCTCATAATATTAAATCATATCGTAGAATATTTTACGAAAAGTGATTGCATGAGAATAAATTACAGTATGGTGATAAGTCAAGTGGGTGCTACTGCTTGGGAACAGTGAATTTAATTCATATTTAAACAGACTGTTATCTAAATCAAAAAGAATTTCTATATGTATGATACATTTCTTATCGAAAAAAATTGCGTGTAGCATTGGGAATTTCGTATGGACTTAAAAATAAGAAAAAATACAGCACGAAACAATGAAATTTATTCATTGAATAAAGTGAGAAAAAAATCTTCTACGACACTGTTAATTGCTATAAGTGTGTATACACAGTGTGTGTCATGCAATATGGCATGTGTAAAAAAAATAACTCCATAAAATAATAATTTGTTCTGGTTTTTTTCAGATAAACTTGTTTGCAAATCTCAAAAATGGAAGAACATCCGTTAGTGTGCTACGGTGACCATCAAGTGAGTTAACCTTGAACTTCTCATCAGCATTGTTCATTGGTTTGCATTGTTTCCTCCAATTAAATGGTTTTTCTTTTCACATTGAACAGAGTCTTGCCAATGCGCTGTCAAATCGTGATATAGATTCATTTCGTCGTGCACTACATTCCCCCACAGAAGTTGAAAAGCGTGACATCGAGTCGTCGATGACGATATTTGAAAAGGCGTGTCAAACGCCCAACTGTGCCCAATTCATTGAAGAGTGTATTTTGGCCGGTTGCGATGTGAATAAGGTATATTTTCGATTTCATTTTCCTTTCAATCAAACAAAGTGTAATTTTTTTCAATTTTTTGTTTACAGTTGAATTCCGAACTCAATAAGCGACCAATCAATTTTGTTGTTGATTCGCATTGCGTCGATAATTTGGCTGCATTGCTTCGAGATCCAAGTGTAGACGTGAATTCAAAAGGGCCATCGCTTAAAACACCCGTTAATTCGCTTGCCGAACAGATAACCAACGAAAATTTTCGAAACGTTTTTCCGTGTATTAAATTATTGATTCAACACGGAGCGGATGTAAACGTACCAGATTGGCGAGAGACAACCCCAATCGTACACATTCTCAAGAATCGTAATTTAAGTGCGGCCAATAAAGAAGTGATTGTAAAATATTTACTTCAAAATGTGGTTGAAGTTGATATCGATTCGCATCGAAATGGTGAAGCACGAAAATTACTCCAAAAATCACTGCCCGAAATTGAGTTGATGCCAAAATCCATTGACACCACACTGCCAAATAGTACATCGTCGCATAGACAATGGAATTTTAATCATCTATTTCTCGCATTGAAAAATGAACAAGAAGACGAATTTCTGCAGGGAATTCAACAAGTTGCTGAGCAAAACCCGATGACAATGCAAGAATTATTTACAGCCGCCGAAAGCAGACAGACATTACTGATTGTGGCTGTTGAAAAAGATTTGGTGTTGGCCATAAAGAAAATGCTCCAGCTCGGCGCTGATGTTAATTTCTTTGTTGATACAACGAGAGACACAATGTCACCGGCAAAATGTGCATGCATTCGTGGTCACTGGCGATCGTTGGAAATACTTTTGAGAGCACCTGAATTGGATTTGAATTCGGCTCCTCTATTACCCATCACCGTGAAGAATTTGGGTGAAAAACCGACTAAAGTTTGTGACTACGAAAGATGCTTTGAAATGCTTCTTAGTCACCGAAACATCGATGTGAATCAAATGGATATGAATCATAGTACGGCTCTGCATTATGCGGTCAAATTCAATAATTCCCGAGCTATTCTTGAGCTATTAAAACATGGCGCGTATGTCGGAGTGC